CTACCTTCATCTCTGAAACAGTTGAACTTTTCGGCGAGTAGATTCACAAGGCCGGCAGCGGAGTTGTTCGCGTCTTCAATAAGTGTGACGACACTACCGTCAAATTCCTGCAACGTCAGTCATAAGTCAACTTGCTTTTCTGTTTTGGTGATGCATCACAAACACACCTCCTCTAGGATTTGGCCTGCTTCTCTTAGACATCGCATCCTTTGATCGAACATGGGGATCTCCTCGTCGGTACCAGAAGAGAATACGGTTCGCAGTACTTCATCCGAACACAATTCTTCGTCGACCCAGAATTCCGGACTAGTGATGGGTATGTCTTGCTCCAACGCTCTTTGTAGAATGGCAACCAGACTCCAGTAGCCAGTCCATCTCTTTCCCTTGTAGACTACTGCGAAGCGCTCGTCGTCGCTCTTCTCGCTCCAGAAGCTGAAGTTGAGTAGATCCATTGTGAAGATGAAATTGACAGTGCTCTCGTCTTTTGCTTTGGGGTGCAGCTCATGCTCTGACCATGTTTGGGTAGAGTACTCCCGCTTCTCCATCTCGTCAAGCACAAGTTGGGCAGCGACCTTGGTAGAGCGCATGTCGAGGGCAACGTCCATGCTGTTATCGCAGATGAACTGGGCATTTTCCAGGACTTTTGTTTCTGGCGGACCTTCCTCTTTGGCACCACCACCCCAGTGCTTCCGCATGAGGTCTAGCAGCTCATGGTCAACTTCGTCGTCGGACATGGTGATGGATGACTGTGTGCGCTAGCTCCGGTTCCGGTAGTCGTGATGAATGGGACTTCTGCGGCGGCTCGTATACGTCGTTAATAAGCTCCACCAGGCTCCCAAGCAAGTTTTTTGTCGTAGCGAGCAGCAGCCAGAGTGTGTCCCGGCAGTCCAGAGGCCCACGATCCACTCATAGGGCGCTCGTTTAGGTGCCAAGCTTCGGAGGCTGAACGCGAGCGGCGCAGGCCCAGTGGAGCGGCGCTACCAGCTGCACTGACGTCTCTCACCTGTCGCCTTCACCTGAGACGGGCACCTCGCCAACTTTCGCATGTCGTAGCCTCGCCCGCACCACAACCTCGCTCGCGCCTACTCCCACCCCCGAACCCGCAATGGCACGCGACAAGTTTGCTCGGCAGAGCCTCGGTGGCACGCTCCATCAGCGCATCAAAGAGGTAGCTGCAACCACGCGCAAACATGGTATCAGGCAGTCGCTAATGCGCTCTAGTCACGCGTCTTGATGGTAGGAGCTGGCGGCATTGGCTGCGAACTCCTCAAGAACCTCGTCCTCACCGGCTTCGGCGAGATACACATTGTAGATCTCGACACCATCGATCTCAGCAACCTCAACCGCCAGTTCCTGTTCCGCAATGAGCATATCAAGAAGTCCAAAGCACTGGTACGGCACGATATCACTTACAAGCAGGTCAAAGGCCTTGCGCTGACAGCTCATAGGTTGCGAAAGAGTCGGCCGGCAAGTTCAATCCCGACGTCAGCATCGTTGCGTACCACGACAACATCAAGGATGGCCAGTTCAACGTCGCGTGGTTCCAGAGCTTCGGCCTCGTCTTCAATGCGCTGGACAACCTCGATGCGCGGCGACATGTCAACAGGATGTGCCTTGCCGCCAACGTTCCCTTGATCGAGAGTGGCACGACCGGCTTCAATGGACAGGTCCAGGTTATCAAGCGGGTGCGCGACCTCAATGCGACTACCTTACTGAACGATTGTGCTAATTGTATTATAGGGCGAAACCGAATGCTACGACTGCACGCCGAAAGCCGCGCCCAAGTCCTTCCCCGTATGCACCATCAGAAGCACACCCTCGCAACCCATCCACTGCATAGTATGGGGAAAGTCGTATCTGTTCGCCGAAATATTTGGCACCTCGGAAGACGAAGCGCCCGAGCTGGACCACAGCGAAGATGCCGACAACGCAAGCGAAGTCGCGAACCTGCAGAAGGAGGCACAAGCGCTGAAGCGGATTCGCGATTCCATGGGTTCCCAAGACTTCCCACAACTGGTGTTCGACAAGGTGTTCAAAGAGGACATTGAGCGGTTACGGAGCATGGAAGACATGTGGAAGACCAAACGGGCGCCAGAGGCGTTGGACTACGACGCGCTTATGCAAGAATCACTGGGTGTGGGCACGGGAATCGCGCAGCAAGACCAAGTCACATGGAATGTAGCCGAGAACTTCGCCGTCTTCGTCGACAGTATCAAGCGACTCAGCACCCGCCTGGAAGAGACGCGCGCAAATGCCGACGTTGGCAATGCGGCACCTATCCTCAGCTTCGACAAGGACGATGTGGATACGCTGGACTTTGTCGTTGCGAGTGCCAATCTGCGCTCACACATCTTCGGCATCGAGATGCGGTCCAAGTTTGACATCAAGCGTAAGGAATCCCCCACACATGGCTGAAATAGCTGCTGACAGATTACAGAAATGGCTGGCAACATCATCCCCGCCATCGCGACAACAAACGCCATGACGGCCAGTCTCTGCGTCTTACAAGCCTTCAAGGTCATGCGCGATCAGCTCGACAAAGCCAAGATGGTCTTCCTCACCCGCAGCACCGAGCGCGTCATTTCAAGCGAATCACTCCGACCACCGAATCCTCACTGTGCGACGTGTGGTGTATGCTATGCCACCCTGCACGTCGATACACCGCGCGCGAAGCTAAGCGATCTGATCAACATGGTCCTGAAGGAGAAGCTCGGCTACGGAGAAGAGTTCAGCGTCAAGCGCGATTCGGATATACTCTATGACATGGACGAAGACATTCATCTCGACAAGACATTTGAGGAACTCAACTTGAAGAACGACACCTTCCTCACGGTTTCTGACGACTCGGAAGAAGACGCAAGGGTTGATCTAGTGCTCTGCATTATACACACAGAGTTCACCGAGAACGCGAATCCGCTCAGGTTACCCGATGAGATCAAGATTCCGACCAAACCCAAGGCACCTGCGCCAGAGACCAACGGTCATGCGACTGTCAACGGCACCGTTGCCAATGGTGTCACAAACGGAAGCACGAACGGTGCTGCGAAGCGCACAGCCAGCCAAGCAGGCCTGGAGGACGACTTCGTCCGAAAGAAGGGCAAGGTCATGGAGGAGTCGCAGAAGAAAGACGACGGCCACATAACCATTGAGGACGACAAGGACGGGGCGATTGTCATTGATGACGACTGAATAAACCTTCAACAAAAGTTGGGTTGCTGCCCACATCTTGGCGCATCGTCCTCACTTGGACCTCATGATCGTTTTGGCTGTCTACAGACGATTATTGGAGTATTCGACATACTTCATTCTTCTCGTCCCGCCATTGGATCATCAGCCTTCGTTCGTTTTTGACGGCCATTCTACTCATCCCACCACGAACATCAGTCCAGCGAACTGCGCGTCACCGAAGCGCAAACGGCATATAGAATTTCTTTTTCTCTTGTACTATACACCAATCAGTCGCATGGAAACGTTTGGCATGGGCGTCTTTTGGGAGACTCACTGGTTACATACCTCAGTCTGGATCATCTGGTGGAAGGAAGCACATGTGGAGAACGCCACTGGGCCGTCTTGCAAGGCCGGAATGGCAGTTGAATGTAAAGGACATCAACCAGCGTAGTAAAGTTAATGGAATCAGACGGCAGATAAGCCGCCATCCAAGTTCAACACACAATTATGTGCATATCGGTTTTCTGCGAGGAACAATGCTGCGTGAGCGATTTCGGAGGGCCTGCCGAAACGATTCAACGGGATGCGTTGCTGAAGCTCAGTGGCATTCAGGTCTGGCCGTGGTTAGAGCACGCCTTAACAAACAACACCGTGGCATGCGTACCTTTTGTCATGTCCGTTTCCACGTATCCAGGTACGATAGCATTGACCCGCACTTTGTGACTCGCATACTCTGTAGCCAAAGCACGCGTAAACCCCAAAACACCCGCTTTCGACGCCGCATACGCAACGGCTCCGTAGCCGCCTTGCAAGCCCAGCAGCGAACTGACATTGATGATGGCAGGATCCTCATCTTCAGCTTGAGTCCTACCTCTCAGATACCCATTCCTGTTACAGACGTTAACAAGTCAACAGACCGTACATTAAACAGAGCCTCACATAACAAGGGTAAAACACGTTTGGATGTACATACCGTATCAAAAACTTCGTCCCCAGCATCATAGAAGTAAGATTCGTCCGAATGATACTTTCCAGGTCCTCTTCATTCAATCCCGAGAAGAGCTTCGCCTGCGTGACACCCGCACAATTCACAACCACATCGATGCGCGAAGGATGTGTCGAGAACACCGTGCGCTCTGGCTTGGGTAGATGAGCGATGAAAGGGCGCGAGGGGTGTAGATGCCAGAAGTTGGAACCTAGGGATATGTCGCCTGCGATGTAGCCGTGTTGGTATGATGATGGTTCTACAGGGTCATGTGTCTCGGGATTTGAAGGTGTATCTGGTGATGAGGTGGATGGGAGGGGTGTTAGGCTTGCTATGGCGGCTTCTAGGTCAGGTTCTGAGCGCGAGATTAGGGTGCAGCGGTATGCGTTTTTGGAGAAGAGTTGTGCGATTGCGAGGCCGATGCCTCGGCTGCCGCCTGTGATGAGGACGTGTCGTGGGCGGTGCGCCATGGTCATGAATTGGGCACTTTGCGTTTGTGGAATACGGTCAATCCGTCTGTGGGGAGGGGATTGCCGTTGTTTTTGAATCTTTGTTCAATTGGTCTTCGTAGTGGCTCTCTTTCACAAGAAATTGAAAAGGTATAATCTAATGTAGATGGGTGATGTAGATGGGTGATGTAGATGGGTGATGTAAGCCATCCACCCCCCATCTCGACGTTCGCCCACGCGAGAAAACGTGACAGCGCGCGCTGTCCTCCGCAACTTCCCCGCGATATCCACCATCTCTCTCTCACACAACTTCCCACTCGACGCCCCTACATACAACGACCCCGCCTTCAGACCACACCCAGAAGCTATTAGACTTATAGCTCATATCGCGCATCACAATGGCAGACGACAAGCCTACCGAATACGTCACCCTCGTCTCAAACGACGGCTTCGAGTTCAAGATCCTCCGCTCAGCGGCTTGTATAGCGGGCACGATCAAGAAAGCACTGGATCCACTTTGTGAGTCACTCTCTACCACATGGTTGTTACACAGCCCGACTAACGCATCAACAGCTGGCTTTCGGGAAAACGCACAGAATCGCGTTGACCTGCCTACGATCAAGTACGTCTACTCCAACCATGCCTCCCTCCCATTCTCGCTCCGTACCGCGACATCTCCGCCGGAGAATACACTATAAGAGAAGAGGCTAATAGTGATACATAGTGGTGTGGTGTTAGAAAAGGTCTGCGAGTACCTATACTACAACCAGAAGCACGCGGAAAGCAAAGATGTGTCTGATATGGACATCCCGCCCGAGCTTTGTCTGGAGTTGTTGATTGCAGCGGATTATCTTGATGGTATGTCTGCAGATGCTAGGATGCAAGAAGGGAGATTGTGCTAATGTGTTTAGTGTGAGATTGTGACTGAATATCCGAGATACGCTTCTATATCCGTAAACCCAGCGCCCGTCGCCGAACGAATACAGAAAAAGAGGCTGTGAGGCAGGGTTTCAGACATCGGCTTGAGGGTCGTGGTGGGGGTATGATACGAGATGGGTCTGAGAGCTGCTGGGGACTCTTATGCCAGAATACTGGAGGAAGCGGACACGTCGAGCACATGAGCTTTTCAGGCGACATGTACTTTGGACAAAAGGGAGGCAGCATCTTTCCTAATTGTTGATCTGCTTCTTTTTAGAGCTTTTCTCATGCTCAGGGAGACGCTACTTCCCTGATACTATTAGCAGATCTTGACTTCTGGCTGACCAGCGTGGAGAGGAAAAGCAGAACTAAAAGACCTCGCGTAGAGCAGCGTGCAGGCTGTGGATAAATGCTTGATATGATACTTATCTATGCGTATTTATCAAAACTGCTTTCATGTCGGAGACAAGAGGATGAACTATGGTGTATTCATGCCCTTCCATCCCGTTCTATCTTTCTACATCCCTACCATCTATATGTACTCCCCATACCTACAAAACCCAAAAGGTTCCTCCGCATCATCACCCACTAGCACTGCACCCCAAACTTTCGCAGCGTCTCCTTACCCGTCGTAATCTTCATACCAATCCTATCCATACGTTAGCCACATGCCACACACACACCGATCAAGAAGTCACATACCTAGCATCCAAATCGAACCCACCCATCTTCGTAACCTCATCCAACCAATCCTTGCACTGCACCAGCATCTGCGGGTTCTTCTCCGGATGCCCATCCGCATCAGCCTCGCGCCAGATATTCGCGGCCATCTCGTAGCGCGCACACGGCGCAGTCCAGTTATCTTTGAAGTTACCCGTGATGAGCAACTTATCAACAGGCAAAACCTCTTTCTCTAGGATGGCCTTGGCTTCAGCTGTTTGGTCCATGTTACGCAGGGTAGCGGCGCGCAAAACGTGGAGAATGGATTTCTCGTCTACGCCCTCCTTGTCCCAGTGTGGGTTGGCTGGTGATTCGCTCCAGGCCAGGTTGGCGAGGGAGACTTGGAGGTGATCGTCTCGCATGCGCTTGTATCCGTTCCAGAAGTAGATCATTTCCTCGAGTGGGGAGACACCGACGGCGTCGACGATGTCGCAGTTCCATTCCTTTGCGCGTGCTTCCCATTTCTGGATCTTGCGTGCGACGAAGATGTCGAAGGGGAGTTGGCGGGCCATGAACTTCTTCTTTCCGACGTTTGGCATGACTTTCTTCATGTACTCCTCTGCTTTCACACCGTATTCCTTCGCTTTGGTCGGGTCGGTCGTCTTATGCTTTCGGTAGAGTTCGACGTATGAGGCGGCGATGATGTGGTAGTACAGCGCGTGGGACCAGTTGTTGAGGCCAATGCACTTCTCGAAAGCGAAAGCAGTAGCTTCGTAGTCGTGCATGTACATGTTGTTCAAACTGCGTTCAAACCATGTAAGCGCTTCGAGCTGTTTTAGCTTCGACTCGCCCACTTCGTGCATGAATTGAACAGCCTCTTCCAACTTCTTCTCAGAGGCGAGCATCCTGGACTCCTCAAGTAGCCAGAGATGACTCTTGGGGTACCTTGCGCGCATGTAGCGGAGCAAAGCCAGGCATCGTTCTTTCGGGTATGCCCCCTCGCCCTTGGTAGGAAGTATGTCGCAGAAGTTGGTGAAGCCATTGATGTATCCCATAAGCACAACTCCCGCCATGGCACCGTGAATGTTGTGGAATTTAGTCGCTTGCCACAGCATTCGCATTCCTCGTTCCCTATCACCCTTGAAGCCAACGATCTTCAGTAATCCAGCAAAAGACGGCGGGATGAACGAAAGAATGAGTAACAGCATGCCGAAACAAAAGTTGGATCCGGAGAGGATGAATACATCGACTGGGTGGTTGCTGAACGACGCAATATCCGCATCAGCATCACCCTCATCGTTCAAGGTAAGCTTCTCGAAGTATTCGATAGCGTCTGGTAGCGAGTTGGATGGGTTTTCGTTCGTGGTAGGAAGCCCTGGTGCCGAGCTTGCTGCGACATCCACCTTCTTTTGAGCATTGTCTAGCTCGACAGTAGCACCCTTGCCAGCGGCGACGTTCAGATGCCCCATGTATTCCACAGGCGTTTCACCGCCAGTGTGATCTTCTGGAGCATCCACGAAGTCGACATCGTCATCGTCGTCATCTGTGGCCTTCTTCGCAGCCGGTCCAGTCACTGTCGTAGTCTGCTTCAAACTAGAAGTCGACGCTGCAGCGGACGGCCCGGTAGACGTAGGACCCTGAGAGCTCTTTAGAGCACTGCTTGCCACATTTGATCGAACCGAGCCCTTCGAAGAGGGGCGTGATCCCACCGAGTTGACGCTGCTCGTACTCCTCTCTGCCAGAAACTTTTTCTCGTTCTCCATAACACCCTCCAGCGCAAGATATGCTTTCCTCAACTTGTAGAAACTCTTGATAGCCTCCGTCAAGCTCTCGTTGAGCACGCCGACAACAGCACTCATCAGCTGTGCCTCTGCCTGACATACCGCATACTCGGTGCCTGGCGGGTATATAGCCGATTTATACGCATTCGGATCCTTGCTAATACGGCGTTGGTGTTCGTAAGCGGAGTTTTCGGCCACTGATAGGGCATTCGCAGCTGTCGACCATGTCAGTCACTGCATCTCCTTGACATCATGTTGAATATGTGATCAGACCTTCGCGTACAATTTCCGGCTCGAAACCCAACGTCGCTCGTATGAAGACACACACTCCCGCTCCGAGCTACACGATATAAGACTAGAACCGAAGTATGGGCCCGAGGGCAGGAAGGTAGGTGTGTACCTGGTGGAATGGACTGGATCCTTTGCTAAGGTGTGCTTCGGCGCTTTCGATATCATCTGCCATGATATAGGTGACGGCTGTGCTCGCGTGTGATTAGACTTGTCTGCGCCACTGTATTGGGTGGAGTTCGTACCGCTCATGGCATCCTCAACTGTGTTGTATTAGTACCTGCCTGACTTATGCATGCTTTTGAACTTACTCTGTGCCATTTCGCTCAAGGAATCTAAGCTCTTCGAATGCCCAGGCGTATGGCCCTTGAGCCAACCGCCGACTTTGAACATGCTGGATAAATAATCCCGCGCCGCGGAGAGACTGGTCGAAAAAAGGTTAACCAGAAGAGGCCGAGAAAGAGAGACACGAGAAAGATCAAATGAAGAGAGGTAGTAAGTATATTCAAATCTCAGCGTAAAGCGGATACACCAGCTAAGACACTGAGCGCGTGTCTAGACACCTACTAAAGCCCACCAGACGGGCGGTGCTTACAGCTTCGTCCGGCTACTCGGAGCTAAAGTACGTGTACGTCATGTTCATTATCCGTACTTTGCCCTCCAATGCACCCCAGGCCCGGCTTAAAAAGAGTGAATGAGGTGCAACGGCGACAGCAAAGCACCACCATGCATCACATGGAACTTTCTCGGAGCCAAGCAGCAACCTCGACGGACTCGTACCCCGCGAACCCAGTTGCCAGGTGCACCACGTGACGTCGCGCTAAGCCTTGCGGACAATCGCCGCCGCCGCTCCTCCGCTGTTAGAGCCGCATCACCAAAGCCACAACACCGCGTAATCACAACTCGACTCACCCAGCCATACCATAACACATCGCCGATCGCATCTCCCGAAACCGCCACAATGTCCGGCTCAGCACAAGGCAGCAACGATATGAAGAAGGCCGTCGTCAGCGACTCAAAGAACGGCGAGCAACCACTGGCGCCTGAGAAGAAGCCCGCGACACAGCTAGAGGAGGACGACGAGTTTGAGGACTTCCCTGTAGAGGGTATGTTGGATGTGGTCCAAGAGGATTCATCAAGCTAACGTGTCTGCAGACTGGACTGAGGAGGAGACACAGATCCCCAACGGCAACACACATCTCTGGGAAGAGAGTTGGGACGATGATGACACGAATGACGACTTTGCGGTTCAGCTGAGGTAGGGCATTCATCTACTGTAAATGTATAGGTGCTAATAACAACCAGGGAGGAGCTTAAGAAGCTGGGCAAATGAGCGATACCTATAGTCGACACGAACAGACGCGATTCGAACGGAAGACATGACGACCCTTCAAACGAATGAGGATATGGCTAGCTCGAGACACATACATGGTTGAGAAAGTGAGCCCAAAGACTCCACGCATCACGTCCATAAGCCACGAGGTGGAATGCGGTATCTTTATTGAACCGAAAAGAGCTATAGCTACAATCATAACTTCGAAGATATACCTTCCCTCATCTTGAGCTGCCGTTCACTTCTATGAGTGACTGGTTTACTTACTTGACAGGGCGGATACACCGGGCAGGTCCTTGCCCTCGAGCAGCTCGAGCGACGCACCACCACCAGTCGAGACGTGGGACAGCTTGTCTTCTACGCCGTACTTGGCGGCAACAGTGGCTGTGTCACCACCACCGATGATGACAATCTTGCCGCTCTGCGCAGCGTCAACGGCAGCATCGAGCGTCGCCTTGGTGCCCTTGGCGAACTTCTCAAACTCGAATACACCGGCGGGGCCGTTCCAGAGGATGGTCTGCGCCTCGCCAATGGCCTCCTTGTACAGCTTGATTGACTTGTCTCCGCAGTCGAGACCCATCCAGCCATCTGGGATACCGTCCTTGTCCTCAGCGTAGCCAGTGTTGGCATCCTTGTCGAACTTGTCGGCAGTGATGTAGTCAACGGGCAAGACAATCTTGACGTTGTTCTTCTTCGCCTTCTCGACAAGGTCCTTGACAGTCTTGCTGCCGGCCTCGTCGAACAAGCTGTCGCCGATCTTCACACCCTCGAGCGTCTTCTTAAAGGTGAATGACATGCCTCCGCAGATGATGAGGCTGTTGACCTTGCCGAGCAGGTTGTCGATCAGCTGGATCTTGTCGGAGACCTTAGCACCACCGAGGATAGCGAGGAAGGGGCGCTTGGGCTCCTCGAGCGCTTGCGC